TTAGGGTTACGTTAAGCGTTAGGGTTAGGTTTAGGGTTACGTTAAGCGTTAGGGTTAGGTTAAGGGTTAGCGTTAGGTTAAGGGTTAGGTTAGGGTTAGGTTTAGGGGGGTTAGGGTAAGGTTTTCGTGTTAATTTTAACTTTACCGCTCACAGTGTGATGTTTTCGTCGCGCTGTGATGATGTCAGGTACGCGCTTTAATCGGGCGCACTTTAGTGGACCGCGGTTTTGTCGTGCCACGCACTTTTGCAACCTTCTGACGAGCAAAGTCAATGGGGAAGCCAAATTCACTTAATAGCAATGCTACTGACTTAACAACTGCAGGGATTGCTAAAAGCCTGTAGAGATTCTCAGTCATTCAGGCTATGGTGCTTTTCAGACCAAAGGTGCTTTTTCAGGAGGCAACGGGACTTTCTTGCTATCTCTTTTGAAGACGTTTCCTTTGGGACAGCCGTAACCTGGATGACTGAGAATCTTTACAGAAGTTTAGCTCTGCAATTTGGGATGAACACCCTTTGAATGGTGTGGGATTAGGAACGGGTTTCCAGAGGGGGGGAAAATGCAGACTACAGGAACCAGGAGCACTAAGCAGGTGACCCTGAGGACACCGATAAACCTCCAAGTGCTTCAACTACCTGCCAAAAGGATGCAGATGACCAGCTGTCTGCAAGGAATATAAATCCTTCCATTCCCCACTATCCTGTCAGAGCTGAAGAAGCTTCTTCGACCAGAAGCAAAATGTCTTCAAAAGAAAAAACAAGAAAGTCCAGTTTTCCTCCTGAAAAAGCACCTTTCGGACAACTGCAGTGATTCATTTAACAATGGTGACAAGAATGTGGTAAAATGGGACAAAATTGACATCAACTGATTTACTTAGCAACAGATATTTTGGGCTCAATTGTGGCCATAAGTGAAGGATTACCTGTACTGTTTCCATGTTCATGTGAATGTTGAGTCTGATTTTAAATTTTGTTATTACAAACCAGCCACGTAAAATTGTAAGGGCATCAGGACAGGGTAATATCTCTATATATGAATTTTTTAAAAGCAAGTAATCCACATAATCATCCTGTTTCTCTCTTACCTTCCGTGATGGATAGGCAGGTGTTTGCGGTGGATTCCGTGGCTGCCTTCCACAAAGGCATTGGGTGGTTTGTGATATACTGATGCCAACGAACCAATGTGGCAAATGAGCTCATCCAGCAGAGTGGGCTCGATCAAATCGGTCTCTTCAGAGATCAGGGGCTTCTCTGACAAAACCACCTCCTTGGCAGTGACAGGGTCTGTGGAGAGGAGTCGCCAGTAAATGTAGCCACGGTCACGTAGATCTGGGTTGTCAGAATCCTGAAGCAGAAAAAGGTTGCCTGTTAATGGATATGTCAGGCCTGGAAGCCATCTTTTGCATTGGGCCTTCAGGCCTGCCACATTTTCTACTGTGGGAAAATGGGAAGGGGGATTATATGGAGTGGGATAGCTATAGTCAAAATGACATTCCTTTCTCAGAGAGTCAAGGACATCTTTCCCTGCACCTGGAGTGGTGTGCCTGGGAGGTATTTCCAGTTGGGACAGTGTTTGATTGGACCATGTGATGGACATGTGGGTACTGGGTAGGGTCTTAAACTTTCAACTGGGTGGGGAAAACCTGGAAGCTTTCTGATTCGGGTTTTCCCAGATGTGCCAATATGACATCTCTAATAAAATGGAACTTTGAGGAACCTCAAGCCTCAAAGTTGTCTTGCGTTGGGAGTGTTACTTGGAACCTGGACAGGATACTGATATGGAACCACCTTGGACAAAGGAATACCTTGGACAAAGGAATACACAGCCGCGCGAGCGATTGTGGGTGCACCACGGTACACCCACATCACATCTATCCTCCGCGAGCTGCACTGGTTGCCTATTGGTCTCCGGAT